TGTGTGTGTGTGTGTGTGTGTGTGTGTGTGTGTGTGTGTGTGTGTGTGTGTGTGTGTGTGTGTGTGTGTGTGTGTGTGTGTGTGTGTGTGTGTGTGTGTGTGTGTGTGTGTGTGTGTGTGTGTGTGTGTTGTGTGTGTAGGTACCCTGAGGTGTAATAAACATTAAAGATTTTGAGATATATTAGTAGCGTCTGTGGGTGCCCTGAAAGATACGGCGTGAGACGAAGACGTATAATCTTTATAGGTACTGAGGAAATAGAGTTGAAACGCACGCGCACACGCCCGCCCGCATAAAAGCACACAACACGTGATGTTATGCACACATATATGCACGTACGGAAGCACGCATGTATAGGCCTACGCACGTACACACACGTGCGCACACGCGTGTGTCATTTTCCCATCTATCGGACACCTACCCAATATGTCATTCTGTGGTACTCGATTGAACACCCTCACATTTGTTGGTATGATCGGATCCACGCCACCGCGATTAATTGTCCAAACAAAGAAGTAATCACTGAGACTTCCAAATGTCTCCAAGATAACATGAAGCACTTCCTGCAAATGTAAGATCATCAGCAAGTCACGTGCACATATAAGTTAATTTAGTCAACGCCTTAAATTGAGCCGATGATAAGCCACAGATAGACAATTGCACAATCGTGCAGATTCAGATATCCAAGTACATACAAACAGATGTGGTGTATTCAAGAAGTTAGATTAAAAAACCGACCTGTATAAAATAATCAGATTATGCAGCTGTTTTGTGGAAAGTAAACACTTTGGTTGACAGAACGCTTCCGTATCAGCGGAGTGTCAACAAGTAAGAAGGGCAGCCATTGTCTTTCTGGTACCGGCGGATTATCACTACGTATGAGAAGCAACCAGTAAGCTTTTAGTGCCTGCGGAGTGCTGACTCCGTCCGTACCTTTGGTAGAAACTCCATCGACGATACAAACGTGCCAAACGACACGAAGATGACGGGCCTCTCTCCCGCACCAGCTATGTACGGCTCCACCCCCTGTGGAAGATTGCAACACATTGACACATGTATGCCAACACGACAACGAAAATACGAACTAAATTATACTATTTCCGGGGACGTCTGGGAAGGAGGGCAAGGGGTACAGCTGTCCCCTAGATTTTGGGGTGAAATAAATTATAAGATTAATAAAATAGTGCGAAATCTTAAATAAGTGTGAATCATCGGCTAGTCATCCCGGAGCCACTCGTCTTGGACCCACCCGGATACACTGTGCACGTTCAGCGAAAGTTCGTCCAGTACTCATCATCACTTAGCTGAATCATTACATTATGCTCCCTTTGAGAACTTCCTTGGGTAAAGTGACAGAGTCTTGGAA